ACCACCCCTATTCTTCCCGTAAGAGGCAAACTACGCAGGACAACAGCACTGCAGAGAGAAGGAAAACTTGAAACAAACCCTATACCAACCCGTCTGGCCAGTGTGGTATAGTAGGCAAAAACCTCCTTTCTAAGGAGAGGTCTATGTCCAGCAGTGGACTAGTAAAGGCTGTTGATGTGATGTGATACATATGACTGACTGATTTATCAACGCCGAACCTCGCCTGTTGGGGTACAAACATAAAATTTTGGCAGCTGATGCTTTTTATGTTGTAAGCCTAGGCAACCTGGATGTTCGGTGCTTTGAAAGTTACAACCTGAAATAATAAGTAAACACGCGAAAGAAGCCTAAGGCAATAGCTCGTACATTTGTGTTTAGTGAATCGTTTGAATCATTAGCGCAGTTCACTACTAGTCTGTCTCAAAGTTCATTTCACGTATTATATCTAACCCAGATGCCTTCTTCATGTCGCCTGTCGATTAGAGCTGCGGCCGCGTCTGGATAACATTTTTAACCATTCATTTATTCCAAAAGCTTGCTGTTCTTGTCAGATTTGGACACTTCATTGCCACTTCAGCCTGCTATATCTGCGAGAAAAATCTTTTTTGTTTGTAAAATGCATTTTAAATTGACGGGCTTGTTGTTTAGTAGTTAGTGATACTGACTGCTGCGTCAAAGATTAGTAGGTTCGATTTCCAACCAGAAAAAAATAATTAAGTGAGGAGTACCACCATTTGCTGTGTACCTGGTCGTAATTTGGTAAAATATTAGTATGTGTGTCAGCAGTCTCGTTTAACTGACCTTAAACAATATTTTTCTTTTTCCCCTTTCGAACAAAAAATAATTTTGAAACTCCATCTATGTATATATATATATACATAAAAAAAATATTTAAACATCCGAATTGATAACATTCTCCTTTTTGAAGTCAGTTAAAAAGATAGCATTTTGTAATATTTGATTCTAATTAGAAAGACTTAATAAAATCTCTAAAGATTTGTTCAATCCATTAATATATGTCCTTCGGGAACAGTTATTTTTATACGAAATACATAGATAAATACATATTGTAGCTTATATACTCAGCATTTCTAAATACTTGACAACATGTTTGAACAATTTGATGATTTTCGGTCAACGTGTGAGAAAGCTTAACAAACAAACAACAGCTTATAATGTTATTATATCTAATTTTACTATACATATGGAGGAAATACGTTAACATAAGGTACTCAAGTTGATGGATGGTATATTGTACTACATAATATATTCTTGTACGTTCCCGCCGTTCAAGTTCGCGCCATGTTGTCTTGTCAGCTTTCGTTACAATGATAAATCTCGCTTTCCGTTATGTTTTATATAAAGAATTTATTGTTTCAATATCATTATTTTTATAAAAATATAAACATGAAAAACATTTCAGCATGTGATGTACGTTAATCAATACATAAGTACATACATCAATACATACATAATAATCTAAATAAGGACCTGTGCAACAGAGTTTTTTTTAGCAAAGACACTTGTAGACTTATTTGACTTAAAATGCGAAATCTTATTTGAATACACAAAAATTGATCATAGTTGTTAGAGCCTTTGCCGAGATACAGATAAATCTATATTAATATTATAAAGCTGAGCAGTTGGTTTGGCTGGTTCCAATAAGTAAATTCTTTGTGCTGTATAGCCCACTTATCGAGGAATGATATAGAATATATAACATCACGCTACGACCAATAGGAGCCAAGCGTCAATGAAAAATGTTGCTAAAACGAGAAAAATTTATTTCTTTTGAGATACACCGACGAAAATGGGCGGGTCAGTTAACTTTACATAGTATAAAATAAAGTCGCTTATTTTGCTTGTATAGATCTTTCGAACTATGCAACGGATTTTAATGCGGTTTTCACCAATAGAGAAAGTGATTTAAAAGGCGGGTTTACATGTAATACATACATATTATAGCTAGCTAGCTAGGCTTTGCTCCGCTGAAACAGTAAGCTGGTGAAGCAATAACAGACAGAGGGTGTATCTGACACCCTCGCATTTATAATATTAATATCGAAGAAGATGTCCTAGAGTATAGTCTTATCATAACAATAGTATAATTAATTACTCCACTCTCCACACCACACTACTAGCATTGCACCCGTGCGAAGCCAGAGCGGTTCGCTAGTATTCAATAAAATAGTTTTCCGACTGACGGCACAGATCGTTCCTACCAGTTTGGTGACTACAGGATCATATAATTGATAGTCGACCTTGATGCGAATGATGTAACCTACATGTATATAATTGTAGTATAACTGTACACAACATACATATAAACATGTCTATCAGTCCGTGCGAGCTTGGTGTAGCAGGATGTTTCAGGACAGTTTCCGCATTGACTCATAGATACAACGTGACATTGGCACTAAATATTGTAGTGTATTGAATGTGTAGGACGGGCCCACCAGGACGTATGCGTACTTATAATCACGCCTATATCCTCGAAGCGGTAAACAGAGCCATATTTTGCGATATTTTAGTCTACGTATAGCTGTCATACTCCGTGTCTACTAATTAAAAATACGGAGTGTCACCCCCTATTCATCCCGTGGCTGTCGTAAGAACAGACTAAGGGAGCAAACTACACAGGACAATAGCACTGCAAAGAGAAGTAAAACTTGACACAAACTCTATAGAAACCAATAGTAGTAGCGGCGTGGTATAGTAGGCCAAAACCTCCTATCTAAAGAAAGGCCTATGTCCAGCAGTGGCCTGGTAAAAGCTGTTGTTGTGACAGCCAAGTGCTCTAGTAGTTCGATGGGATAATTTAAAAGAAGGGTAGATAAGAAGTGAAGGCTATAGTACGAGTAAGCAAAGCGAATTTAAAAGTTTGTTGGGCTTTTGTGCTAAAAAAGAAAGAAACATTTGTGTACGTGATACGTTCACCCAAGAATGCGGTCAGTGCCCACATTGGTTCTAAGGTTCCCCGTGGATGGATGGATAAAACAAAGATCATAGATGTTATTTTTAATCCGACAGAAAACATGTTGTGTTCTCTTCAGGATGTCCGTGGTGGGCAGTAGAATAAACAGAATTAACTGTTCGCAGTTACTTGTGGGTTTCTGTTTGTTATCTTGTAGCGGTCATCTCATGACTAATGTATTTGCGGTTGGTTGACGTATTGTTGATGTCTTCTGCTCATCCTCTCTGAGTAGGTCTGAATGTTTAGTCATTTGTTGTTTGATTTTTGGTTGACGGGGGTAAGCAATGAACATGATACTCTGTTTTATCCTTACGTATCCTAAATATACACCTGCCACACACAGCTTTGCAACACCCAAAGGTTTAACTGTAAGAAAATGCCTGTGGCATTAAGTCCGTTTTATGTAATATGTGTTTGCAGTAAGTCTCAATAAATAAATAAAAATAAATAAACATGATAATTTCATTAGGGTTTTTTTCCTAGCTAGTCTCTATTGTGGGTCGGTTGTTCTTTATACATGCTATAATTATTTATTTTTAAAATAGTTTTACTCAAATTAAAACAACCGTGAAAAATTGTAAGCTATGTTTTAAATGTTTTTTTTTTTCAAGTTTCATAGAACCAATCTTGATTGTTTTTGAATCAGATCACAAATGTCAAAGTCTGAATAAATTCAGTCGGAAGTCAGTCGTTCAGTCTTTTTAAAAGTATACCTCTTTTTGTACTTGTATATTCGGGTAATAAAGGAACATATTTTGGAAAACGTAATGGTGATGGTGTAAAAATTCCTGTTGGAAGTAATAAAGCACTGTTAAATGTTTAGTTTGTCGCATCTGTAAATGAGTTTCCATTAACTGTGTTTAGGTTGTAGTTAAAATAATGATTAATTGCACTACACGTAATTATTTTGTGTGTGACGGATTAAGAATACAGAGTGTCACCACCCCTATTCATCCCGTGGGAGTCGTAAGAGTCGACTAAAGGAGCGAACTACACGGGACAACAGCACTGCAAAGAGAAGGAAAACTTGATACAGACCCTATACCAACCCGTCTGGCCAGCGTGGTATAGTAGGCCAAAACCTCCTTTCTAAGGAGAGGCCTATGTCCAGCAGTGGACTGTTATAGACTGTTGATGATGATGATGATGATGAATTATTTTCGATGTAAGAGCTCGTCACGTTTAATTACCAGAGTTTATGTTTAGAACACAACATATCTATATTGTTTATTACGTTCGTGCATTTACAATGTTCCTTGATATGTTTTATTAACTCTGCCCACTCGCGTTATTTGTTTGTACAAAATTGTAGTAAATTACTTACTATAGTGATAAGTACATTATGTCAGGATATAGGGGTCAGGGGTGCAGAAAAGGTTCTGTACAAAGTGTACAAATTTACATGACATGACAATGTTCAGTAGTTAAGGCATGAGGACGTTGATTCTCAAAGTCAGGGTTTAGAAATTAAACAAATATGTAACATAGGTAGTAATGTAAATAAATTATTTTAATTTACCAATTTTAATACCTGTAATGAATTAGTTCTCTGTTTCTGTGAATTTGATTTAATCAGGCAGACCTGACAAAATAAAATTAACCTTATAAATTTGTATATTTAAATTTACCTTATAAAAATAATTCGGGTTTTGTTTCTTCAACTTTTAAGTATATCAGATTGCGAAATATGTACCCTACAGTTGTAATAACGCAATTTTTACATTTTTAAACTTCTTGGCTGTAAGTAAATTTTTATTTGCAGAGTCGTAATATACATATTTTAATACTATATTACTAGATTTCTTTGTTATTTCAAAAATATTAAAAAAATTAGGTATGTATAAGAATAATCAAGGCAATCAATACAAAATCAAGCATGCTTGATTTTCTGGACAGATGGCGTTGTAACTCGTTGAGCGATACTTCATTAAAAACAAACTAAAATGATTGAAAACATAACTATAAACGCGATTGAAATCTATCACTGCATTAATAAATTCTAATTAAAATATTGTAAATTCTACAGGAGAGTCCCGAAGGGAAGGCTCGACAGATGAGCCGACAGCGCCCGACGCGGATGTTGACACCAGCGATGCTAATACCAAGGAACCCGACAAGGATAACAAGTACGCATACATTTTCTACCTACAGAGTTCTGCACAGTTCTCTCGCTTTCAAGTCAGGGTCATCTGCAGTCAAATTTAATGCAAAAGTGAAATAAAGTTTGTACTGACCAATAGCGCCACCTACTTTTACTCCCAAAGAACTGTGATTGCAACTTAAGGCGCCATCTATTATGCAATAGCTGACGTATTAGTTCAGCTTTTCAGCGCTACGTAAGAGTTTGTAGTTCAAGCATAATCCACCAGAGCACACTATTCTGCTGAACTTTCATTGAAAAGATTATGGCAAATTATAAACTTTACAATAAATAAATTCCGTACTAGTTTTTGAAGTGTTTTTGCTGGTTGTTTCGGAAACCATCTACCTACTAGTCTTTTGTCTTTCATTAGGCGACTTCTTGACAAAAAAGGTGGTTCTTTCAAAAATTACTGATTTTTATTCTGCTGAGGTCTCAATATTATTAGCAAAATCGTTTGTACTTTTTTTATAGTGTCAAATTGCTGCATAAGGTCACATTAAATAATGAAATTAGATAGGTAAGTTCTAACGTGTGATGTTTCGTCCCTGTGCAGCTGGCGTTCCCCGGCGGGAGGGCGCGGCGTCAACCGCGCCGAGAGCTGCCGCGAGCGGGACGTGCCCCGGCGCGGGAAGCACCGCAACGCGAGCGACCCCAACAGGCTCACCGCACACAACAACCAGTGAGTCCATTACATTAATTCTATTTATTTATTTCAAATAAAACTACAGGGTCATCGGGACACGGTCCTAAATGTTGCTGGAAATTTATTGCGTGGTACAGGTACTAAGCAGTTCCGCCTTTCTTTACTAGATGGCGCTAAAGAATATTTTACGTCGGGCATTTCACAGGGTCCTGTTTTAATTTTAAACATTATTACAAAGGTTAAAGACTAAAGGATTGCAGCGGATAAACTAGATTTTTTATTCAAACAGTTGTCTCAGTAAGACTGTGATGCTACTACGCGAATACCATTCCACACCATATGTTATTCTAAGAACAGGGATACATACTGTTAATATTTAAATATAATAGGTACCTACTTCGATTACCTACTTTCAATTGTCAGTGAATTCAACATCATTTCTCTTAGAAGTCTCTATTCGGATAGAAGAAGAGGCATTGTCTCAGTCAGGCTTTAAAATGATGTACATATATTATATAACAGTTAAATATGTTGTCAACATAAATATGGGCGATAAATCTATACTATTTGAATTGTATTCAGAATATTTTTATCTCTGTGCCTTGAAAATTTAATTTCGCGTCCATGACATAAAAATCGAAATTTTTATATCGATATCGTGTCGATGATGACAGACAATGTTTACTCTAAAAGCAAAATACGCGCGAATTCGCGCGAAACGCTGCTCCGTCCCGAAATATCGAATCTAGTCGAGACGGGACCAAAATGGCGATACTTTTGTTTTCAAAACCGTCCTGCTCACCGCTGAATAGACAGACATTAAAATGGCATAACTGTACCACAGCTAGATGCAAATGTAGACTTTATTATAACCTAGTAAAGTATTCTTACACATTTAACACTCGACTCATAAGCAGAAGCGTTCATTTATAATTTTGGACATTATTGATTTATTTTCTTATACCTAGCACATTTTAGATTGATAGCTTTGTAAAATGAAGGTGTATTTATAATTTGGATTTGAAATTTGTCGTCGAAATATCGAATTTTAAAACAAGGAAATTAACTATAAATGAGTAAATAAACTTAAATTTGAAACTTTGGAACAAAATTGGTAAATAAAAATTATCTATGTTTATAACATAGCATAAACAATCTTTAAATGAGATAAAATATTTCATTATTTTCCATAGATAAGCAATGGTTTATTTTAAATTGATTATTATTAATTCCACAATGTTACTATTAATAAATTAATTTAAACACAATTCTATATTTCTTAAGAAACATAAAATTTCTTAGGAATATCAAGTTTATGTGTACATATCATCTAAATCATGCTCGCAATAAAACGTTTTTCCAAGTAAATAAAATATATCAAATCGTTTTACTAGAATTAGGTTTCATATTAGTAGTTAGATATCTGTCTTTCTCTGTAATGTGGTCATCCAGACGAAAATATTAACCATTATTACTTGATCTCTCATTATATACACGCGCAATTGTAACGCGGGCTCATGTTATACCAGCTATTATCTTTCACGAGTACCAGTATATTGTGATCTATAGTTTATATCGTGACTCCTGCAATACACGTACCTTGTTAACTGGTTTCGTAGACTAGTTTTGCTTGGTCTACGGTTTTGAATTGGCGGAATGAAAGTGGTGGATCTTTGGTGTGGGTGTGTGCATAATGCGGGCTTTCAATGGTTAGATGGTTACAGTTTTCAGTTGAACGCGAGACGCGATCGAACGCGCATTTCGGGACGTTCTCGTTAACGCATTGTCGATGTTGATTTAAAAATTGTAATTATTTATTATATTGTGTGTATTGTGTTGTATGTTTCGTTTAAAGTTTAGTTTATTTTGTAATTTTGAAGTTGACATTGGAAATACTTCTAATTTAGGTGTTTTTTATTAAATTTTACACATTTTTTTTTAATCTTTGCGTTTTTGTAACTTTATATGAGATTTTTATAGTTTCAAAAGGCAAGTGACACAAAAGCGTGGTAGTAAGTGGTCACCGTGACATATACACTCGACTCAGGAGCATTCCCATACAATTGTTTATTTCAATCCTCATTAGAATCAAATTTGTAATTAATATTGTTTTTATAATGATCTTGTTTAGGGCTAATGTAGGCAGCTTCGACTTGATCACATATGTGAAACTCCCCTTAGTTAAATAAAACAATAGACACCGACTCATAAACTATATACGCCTGTTGGTCTAGTGGTGAGTGACCCTGACTGCTAAACCGGAGGTCGTGGGTTCGATTCCCACCCAGCACAAATATTGTGTGATGAGCACGGTCATTTGTTCTGTGTCTGGGTGTAATTTATCTCTAATATGTATCTATTTAAAACTATATAAGTAAGTTTATCAGCAGTCTGGTTACCATAGCACAGGCGCTGCCTAGGTTGGGATCAGACGGCCGTTTATGAAATGTGTGATATATTTTATTATATTTTTAATAATTTTAGTACATTTAGTTTTAACGTAGACAGTAGTACAAATAGTTATAGCTTATAAGCGTCTAAGCGAAATATCCTACCTCTTGGCAATATCTTGTGCCAACAATAGACAATCCCATATTGTGATACTTTGGTATTTAACAACATATACACTCTATATCTCATTGTTTTATATCCACCAGTTTTCGTCTATTGTGAAGATTTTAAAACATAAAACGTATTAATTATGGTATTATTAACACTGATATAATGCGTTCATCGTTGCTGTTGATTCCGAAGGAAGTGTTTCTACATTTTTTAATAATAATAATCTTTATTCGGGTATCTTAAACATATACATTTTTGCCAGAACCATTTTTGCGAGGAGTACTGGAGACTGAGTAATTACCTTCCCTCTACCAGTGGCCATCTAGGTACTTAGATGCTATAAATATGGTAGGTCTACCTTCTTCAGATCTGGAAAAACATACATACACCCTCAGCCTATGTTCCAACTATAATTTTAGTACTTCTTTTTTTTATGATATAAGGGGGCAAACGAGCCGACGGGTCACCTGATGGTAAGCAACTACCGCCTCCCATGGACACCTGCAACTCAAAAGTCATAAGTGCGTTGCCGCCCTTGGGGGTCCCTCCCGCTCGAGTCAGGGGGAGGGGGGATTTGGGCTCCGGTAACCTCACTCCCTCAGTGAAAGGCAACGAAATCCGTCTGCTCATTTACTCTCCCATGTCATAAAAAAATAAGTACGTAACATCAAAGATTTTAAAGCAAACCGAAAGAATCTGATGAATGGTTAGGTTTCTAGTGCACTTGGTGAGGTTCGAACCTGCAAACTCTTGATCGCTAGCCGTTACTCTACACTTATCAGAAATTTATCATATTTTATCCTTCAAGTTATAATTTCTTGAGATTTTTGGACATGTTTATGTGTTTAAAACATGTTTAAGTAAATCACAAAATGGCAGCAGACTACTCATCCGAAGTCAGATTACGTTATCTAACGGAAACAGGCGTCGCATCGCCTCACCACCACATTATTTACTTTTAATCCACATTGTCTCATTGACACTCACGTCAACATGCATTGTTCTTCTCTCCTCCCCCTTTCCAGAGCGGTGGGAGGTGATGTTACCATTTTAACGAATCTTATATACCTAGATATGGCAGTCACAGACAGACCAAGATATTCTTTTTTATGTTACAACAAATTCTTTGCAGTAGGGAGTAGTAAGGCTTAGTTCAAGAAGTTTTTTTTAAAGTCTACTTGCAACCGAAATTAAGCTAAGCTAAATTTCTTGTGTTGGCAGTGGATTCAAGTCGGTAGTGTACTGGTCAGGTTTCGAAGCCACGACCTCTAGATCGCAAGTCCAATGCTTTAACCACTAAGCTACCGCCGCTTAATTTGGTTTTTAATCCTATTAATTTGGTAATTTATTAACACATTGACTGCACGGATGGCGTAGTGGTTTAAGCGGTCGCCACGCCGCTTCCTACTACGCCGAGTGTTGTGGGTTCAAACCCCACATGGGACGACACTTTGTGTGATCCACAAATTGTTGTTCTGAGTCTGGGTATCCTTTGTGTACGTTTCATGTATGTTTGTAAAGTCCCCCGCGACACAGGATTTATTCCTAATAGGGGCGTTGTCTTTTTAAAAAAAAAAAAAAAAACATTGCCACTACAAAATATTACCTTTATAGTATACTCGTGTCACACTCAAAATAGTCGCATCAGAAGTGATTCTCCAAATACCGGTATTTTTCTTTAATTTTAATGTAAGTTTAATATCTCGGCAATTTGTTTTATGAATCGGACATTTACTTTGCTTCTTACCGGAACTTTAACTTTCGGAATTATTCTTATTATACCGGAATTCTCATTTATATTTCAGAATTCTAGTTAAAATATCGGAATTTTTCTGAACAACACGGATGACTGCTTAATATATTTTGTTACTAAACTTCACGTGGGCAGAACAGATCATCAAAATTTTAAGTATCTCTTCTGTATTTGGATGTAAGGTATCACAGACACCTGCGTCGTAAAATATCCAGTCAACTTACGTTATATTGTAAATACGGTATAATAAACGGCAAATTTTCTATCGTTAAACAAAAACTAACTTGTCACGCCTAAACAAGTTGTAAAACGTTGTTGTAAAACTCCTATAAAGGTTATTAATCACTGTTTTTTTTTGTCAATTCACCGTGACACCGTATTGGGATAGTGGCAAAAATAAAATAACATGTTAGAACATAAATTTGTATGTTTACAAGTGTCATTCTAACGACAGTTTATCATTACGTATGTTTTTCTGTCTGTGTGTCTAAACGCAATAAACTCCCAATGTATCTAGTAGGTTTTCATACTACAGGAGTAATTTCTTGATGACGGGTTAGGCGCATCATTTAATGTTTTGTAGAAATTTTAATAAAATATAAAGACGAGAGCCTAAAAGGCGTAAATAATGTATTACGGATATTTATTTTAAAAAATACCTACTACAATAGCTAAATTGTAGTAAATCTTTTATGGTAGATTTTGCATGACTTACTTTTAGTAAA